TCTCTCTCTCTCTCTCTCTCTCTCTCTCTCTACATGGTCTTGAGGCCTCTTTAGGGAACAAAAGCTTTCCTGGGGCGACAAACTTGGAACGAGAAGACGAGCGAAAGGATATATCTGCTAACCAGCGGCGGCAGTGGAGACACGTGGAGACAAACGAGTGGTCGATGTCTGCCACGCGACTTGAAGCCTCATCAAAAATGCTGACGTGGCATCCGATTCAAATCAATCGGAATTTGGTTTGACCGGACCGGACCGAAAGCGGACCGAGATTTCACGCAATTAGGCCCATTTGCCCTATTATTGATTTGAGGATGGCTTTTCTTTTTCTTTCAAAATCACAATATTTATGTTTTATTTCCTAATAAAGATTATCGGAATGGAAGTCAGTATCTTTTTCCCCCTCCCAATTTTAATAAAGCTCTATTATGAAGGGATAGCGATGGATTATATATAACATGTGGATTTTGACAGTGCCATAACCAAGAAGACTAAAGATAGGGCGAATATTTCACACCAATCGCATCAAGACATGTGGATCTCAAATTCAGATGCCACCTAAGCATCGAATCTCGATAAATATTTTACAACCATATCCCAAAGATGACACGAACTCTCACGTCTGCGTTTGGAAGCCGATACCGACATCTCCTCCTTTCCGAAATGAATCTGCTCGGATCGATTTCATTGTTACTGACAGAACGCATACAGGAGAAACACATGCATGCTTAGCATACTGTAGCAGATTAATTTGAAGATGCTGTTTGATGGTGAGAGAAGAAGTTACCAGGATGACACAAGCAATTGCTGCCCTTTGGTTTCAGAAATATTCTGCTTACCAATTCGAGAATGGAAGCCTACAGCAGCACCTTCAATTGCATCCAAGCCTGTGGGTGCTCACAGCTGAGGCAGCAACAAGATGGATGATTGATGGATGGAAAGGTGCTGGTGATGACAATAATAGATAACTTGGATTTTGCTTAAAATATCTGAAAAAGCTAATACATCAACCATAATGCAGTAGTAACAAGGTATAACAAATCAATTAACCACCATTCCTTGCACTTGGAGAAAGCTAGTCAAACTACAAAAGAAATTGAAGGACTTAGTTGTGTTTTTCTCATCCAAAAGAAGTACTCAAAGAAAGCTTGGCATCAAGTCCATGTTCTGCGGCACCTACTAAGTTCAACTGCTGCTTCAGTGTTTTAATTGGGTCTCCTAATGTTAGTTTATGGTAAGATAAATGCAATGTTCATATTAAGGGAATGCACAAACTTTGATCACTAGATTTACAATGATCAGGTCATAACGAGAACGAGCGCTGTAGCTTAAACAAGATTTACTAGCTCTTAGTTTGACTGGAGATATTGCACCCAAAAAGTTCGGACCTCAGCCTGTTGTGCTCAACTATTAAGCTTTACTGATCCATTCACTAAATGAAGCAAACCTATGCGATATAAGATGCTAGTAAGAAACTGCAAACAATGCTAAACTGATAGTTTCCTTGACAAGTATACCGAACAGGTATTACAGGGACATGTAGCACTTTGCATTTGCAAGTCTTGTTTACAAAATTAACTTGTAAACAAAAACTATGATATCATGTCAGCATAGTGGTGTCGGTGAAGGAGAAGGAACACGTACAACAAAATGTACAAGAAAAAGAACAATGACTGTATACATATTACATAGCATGACATATAGTTAAAAGTTAAAAGAAACTCAAGCAGACAGTTTAGAGTAATTGTATCATTAAAATATTGCATGTTAAATAATGCCTATAAATAAATCATGAATGGGATTTTCAAACTGGCTTATATACGACGAAACAGCTTTCGGTCATAATCAAAGGACTAGCGTCATTAACATAAATTTGAAAGTTTGTCATGAGATACAGCATGCACAAAAAAGAAAAACATATAAACTAACAGCTTTCTATTTTTAATGCAACAACAAAATATGTATCCTTTATGGAATATTAGGAATACTCCTGATGAACTATTGCATATTCATCACGCAAGAAATATGACAAGACTTGCTGCCAAATAACTTGTAAATTTCTTGGACATTAGTTGAGTATCTGCAGCCTATAGTTCTTGTTCACATTTTTTCACTCAAAGTATTTCCATCATCATGCACTGAATTGTTAATGCCTCGGCAATGCAACAACTGCTGTTTAAGGCTCTGCACAAGATCATGGAGTTGTTGAATGCTTTTTTCTTGCGATAGAATTATCTGCAAAAGAAAGAAATTTAACAAGTATGATAAGCTAGGTGCTAATATGAGGATTATGATTTTATATTGCCCCTAATGTATCATCAGAGTACTGTATATTTTACTTCATCGAAGCTAAAGAACCAATAGCACGAAAAATAGGAAAGTCTTGGTTCATATGTTTATCTCGTGCAGGGGTTGTATTAGCATAAGAATGAATAAGAAAGAATGGAGGACGGGAGAAAAGAAAGCAGCTCCTTTATTTTAGTTTTCCTCATTCTCCTCCCTCCCTCCTTCCCGACCATGAAAATTGGATTATTATTGTCATGTCAATCATCATGGGATCCAATCTGAGAAAACTGACCCAAGAACTTGATCATAGATTCAAAATGCTTTAACCTAAGTTAATAGTAATGATCATTTATCCCTCAAACCAACACAATTCTTCTCCCACTACTGATATGGGACAACTGGAGGCGTCACACAGTGAGTAATCCTTCATTGCAAAGCACAACTTAAAAATCAAGAAGGCCCACAGTTTGACACCCACTTCCAAGATAAAGAAAATCTAAGCAACGATGAAACCTGCACCGAAACAGAACAAGCTTATGCCATGTAAAGAGAAGATCACCTGACCAAGCACTCCTTTGATATTCCCTTATAACTGGATGATTTTGGCAAAATGGACGAATTGACAAGCTTTGAATAAGGAACAATATTCATATTGAAGGAAAAAAAGAATCAAGAAGCCAACAAAACAGCCTCAATCATAAGTTGGCTATGTTAAACATGGAAAAAAAAGGAGAGAAAGATGAACAAATACATTTTTTATGAGTTAGAACAAGGGTCAGCACATGGTACGATACACCCACAATTATCATGATTGTGTGAATTAACAAAACATGCAAATTTTTATGCTCAAAGGTGACATAATTAAAAGCAAATTACTTTCCACAAAACCAACTGAGAAAGGTACTCCATTTAACACAAAATGATAGATGCTTACTTTCTCTTTAACAACCTCTTCACTGTCTAACATGCGTTGCTTCCTTCGCGACACCACAGGATTGGCTTCAGCTTCGGTGACAATTTGTTGCCGCTGCTCGAAGTGTGTTACCATGATCAGTAACCAAAATAGGAAAACGAGCAGGAGAGGTCTCGACAACATGGTAAACAACTGTCACAACTCCTGCAACCAAAAAGTACATCAATCATACCTCAACCAGGCTGTTCCTCTCACTGCAATCCTTAAATCACGAGGAGGGAGGCATCCAAACAAGTACGAAAACTAAAAGAAGAAATTTGTCGAAGATGAGCATGAAAAGGCGGCAACTTGCAGAGATGATTCTTCAGAGATGCTCGCAGTACACAAGACCGGTAGAAACTTCAGCAAAAACCTTGCTTTCGAGCAAAGATGACCATCGATCGATTTAGCGTCAAATCAAGGCGAATCACATCCCAAATTATCGATCAAGAAAACTAGTTAGGGAGTACCGAATCCAAGGAAGAACAACTCACGGAGAACCCCATGAGATATCCGGAATTAGGCCTTCGCTTCTGCTTCCTCGATCGACGATGAGATGAGGCTATCCAGCCCGGGCGTAAAGTCGGCGTCAGGCGACGAGGCTAGGCATCGTCCCGCAGGATCATGTGGGGAGTTTAGGCTTACGATTTGGTGTGGTCAAAGGCTGGCGCTGCTTCGCGTCCCACTTAAGCAACGACAGACCGGTGTGAGCCGACATCGTCAGTGGCGACTTAAGCCGCGTGCAAAGCGGCGGCGTGACGGCAACTACGCGGAGGCTTTTTGAAGTCCCTCCGACCCATCCATCTCAACCGTTCACTTCAGATGAGTGAATGGTGGGCCCCACTGTTAGGTCTGTTGGACCAATGATGACCGTTCATCTGATCAGTCAACAATTTTAAAGCACAGAAGAAATATGAGCTATCTTTTTCGGTTTCATGCACAGAGTCGCACAGAATACATCATTACATAACCACATGACAGCAGCACAAACACATTCAAACATCTATGGCATCGTAGATTGACCACATGAGGAATGGAGTCAACTGCAGAGCAGAGTGACGGAACCATGAAACGAGAGACGCGCACGAGAGAAGACCACCAACACACGCTTCTTATTGCTTCCGCATGACCAGAGCAGACATGACGACCAACGCCATGAAGAAGACGACGGCTATGAAGGACGCCACGACGGCTCCGCTGATGCTCTGGCAGAAGCCATCGAACCGCAGGCAGATGGCCACCCAGTTGGCCTTGGAGCTGCCGTTGTGAGCCAAGTACACGATGGCCGTCGCCGAAGAAGCCGCAGCGATCGTCAGCTCCATCATGACCTGTAATGTTAGGAAGAGATCCGTAATCTATCAAGAACAAAGGGATAGGTACTTGAGACGGTGATCAGCGACTCACTGTGTCGAGGACGAAGAGCAGAAGCCTTGGCCCGATCGCTTGGGGCCGAATCATGGCGGCTAGGGAGAAGGGGAGGGAGAGGACGAGGTAACCTGCTGCGATCGCATTCCCCACCACGAAGAACCTGCAGCCCATGCAAACCGGTTGAGATCATGGAAGTGGCCTTTCAGTAAAAGTGGGTAGATGTGTACTGACGTCAAGGCAGGGAGATCGGCGAAGTTGGCATGGAACTGGAAGAACTGAGTGAAGAAAGGGAGAGTCTCATCGGTGGTTCCCATCATGATGGCGGCGACGAGCGTAGCAGCTATCGCGCAGAGCCGTAGAAGGAAGTCGAAGCAGGCTACGCCTCTCTTGCACCCCCCACCAGCGGCCTTGGTCTTCCTGAGAAGGAAGGGGAAGCGTCGATCTTTAGGGGCGGCGGGGGCAGCAGGAGGAGGTGCCGCGGGAGCCGGAGCAGCAGCAGGGGCTTTTCCTCTGGCATCGGAGTCATCGATGGTGATCGCGGTGGCGGAGGGGGCGGCTTCGCTGGTGCTCATGCTGGGAGCTGGATTGGGAAGAAGGGATCGGATGAGGCTGTGATGAAGCGTTGGGGTGGAGGAGAGAATATATACAGGTGAAGGAAGCTGGCGGCCGCCGAGACTGCAGTGGAGAAGGTGGGAACTCATTATTAATAGGAGCTTTGTGAAGTAAGTTGGAGGTGGTGGTGCAGCTCGAAGGAGCAGGAAGAGCCATTAGCTATCACCTAACCTGCATTCAAAGCTACAAATCAATTTTCTTTACGTTCTCCCTGTTAATGTGGGAGAGAAGAACAATCCTTTGCATGGGTAGAGAGAGGCTTCACGTTTTACTGAACCAGTAAACGTCGAGCGACTTCACGTTTTTAGAACACTTTGGTTATTTACGTTCGTCGCATAATTTTCATACGACTTCCCTCTCATTATTATATTGGACAGCCATCTTAGACGTCCCAAATCTCGTTGAACCATCAACGAGACCATTGCATTCCTATAAAAACTTGATGCTGAAGCTGAACTCTCTGATTCTCCAATGCAACTTATGAATCTCCAATGTCATTACAACAAGGTGAGAAAAACATAAAATTCTTTCATCAGGTTGCCGATCTCAAGCGTGAGATAAATGAATAATTAATGGCATTCACAAAGTTGAGGTTAGTTGTAATTTCATTCTCGAAACTGATAGCAGCAATTCCCTGAAAATGAAAGCTTCAATTTGTGTCTTCTAACTAGCTTTCAATATACACATTTTCTGTACCAAAAAATTATATAAGCATGACTGACAATGTGAAACAACAGAGGGCATATAATTAATTACTAATGCAGAGAAAAGCCCATGTCATTTTCTTGATCAGTCTCCGAATGAAAAATGCTAATAAAGACTGAGTTTGCTTGTAAAGAAGAAAAATAGTTTAACTTACAAATAGTTAAGCAACTTTGTAACGAAGATGCTTCACCAAGTTTATGAGCTCCCCATAGCACTCACCCACTATTCAGCAACGCTACCTATCGCCAAGAGGGGCTCCCCAAATAATTCATTCCCACAAATGGGTTTCTGTCTACATACGAATTTACAAATCTGGTATGATTCATTTTTTTCCATTTTAGACATGCCATTGTTACAATCATCAACCTTCAGCCATGGCACTATCCCCGGCCCAGGTTCTTCTACCTTCCACAGAGGGAAGAGGGAGAGAGAGGGAGAGAGAGAGAGAGATTCAAAGCAGCTGCTCCGATCCTTCCAAAGAATGCTGCCATCTCACCTAATTAGCCTGTGTTATTCCGACATGACTGGAGAATTGACTTACAGGTACCCATAGACGCCAAATGTGGCCAAAATAGAACACAATTGATTCACATGTATTTTGCTTTGCAACGGCAAGTGCCGGCTTCCAGTGTAGTACCGCTCAAGCAAATCAAGATGCACCTTGCTCTCCACGATGTGTCTCAGCAATTACCATTTGCCTCACAGCTGGCATTGTTTGGGGTCAATGAGAGATTTGGGGTAACACCATTCATCTTTGTTTGCACCTGGTGATTCTGTTCTGGAACATTGCTTGTTTTGTGTTCAGAAAACCTCACCAAGATCTTGTCAGACAGTGGTGGTTGATCTTTCAGGGATTCTATGTGCCTGGTGGCCGGTACATCACCACGGCAATACCTATGCCACATATTTCTGTATGTAGACTCCAGTCCTTGTGTAAACTTTGCTCCATCACAAACTGGAGACTTCGACATAAGTTCTCGTAGTGTCATTCTTAGCTCCCCCAGAGCCGAGACATCAGAAGCCAGTTGTAATGCTAACTTAACATATTCCTCTTCTGTTTTGGCAACCAGGCGCCCCAAACCTGCATCAAAAAATTTGAATCATCCACTTAATGGAAACAAATCGGTGATGAAAATAACATTGTGTATGAGCTCAAGCCACAAAGTGCACATTCTCAGCATTCACCAAAATATAAAGATCAAGTTCATGTTTGTAATAAACATGAAAATTATACATGTGATCATGCATACCAACTTTAGTTAGAAGGCTGACACCGACATTATGAGCATGTACAGAACCTGCCATTGTGACACATGGAACCCCCATGTATAATGACTCGCATGTGGTAGTTGTTCCAGCATATGGAAATGTATCCAAGCTGCAATGGTAGGGAACATTCTTAAATCAATATCACGGTAATGCAACACCGACGAGTACAATTTCAAAAAAGTAAATAGTAGAATCCAGAAATTTGACTGCCCAAAGTTGAGTTTCGAATTTGATGACGTAAATTTAAACAGCATAGAGTAATTTTTTGGGCCAAACTAGTTTCTAGTAGATGCAAGCAAATGCCACACACTTCCAATCTTAAACTACAATTAAGCAGGCATGATAAGCTACCAAGGTTCTTTTATAGCTTCACAATATAATAGTACAATAAAATCTCAACTAGTGTAAACTGAGCTCAGAACTTGAAATGACAACCATAAGGTATCTGATTTTCAAATAATTCTAAAATAAATGAAATGCTTTTAGGATGAAAACATTGTAGAAACCTTCTGAGAAAACTATGGAATTCTTAAATTATGATATTTCAATTAGAGACAAAATGGATATATTATTAGAGATATTTGCATTTTTTTATGCTAATTTAGGAAACAAATACTCATAAGATTAACACAAAATAAAGAAATAGCATACTAGAAAAAAATAACACTGACCATGGAACTTATAGATAACATAATGATAACATAACATAATTATCCATCAGGATAAAGGACCTAGTGAAAAGAATCTAGCAAATGAAAATCCAAACAGTAACATATCAATGTGAGGAGCAGTTCATGAATGAATTACATATGGATGCAGCCTCAAGCACCATTCTGCATGAAATATCTGTGAGGAACCATATATTTTATATTTACCTGATATCCATCAGGGAATATGCTTGCATATGGTCATGGTTAAAAAGAATAAGAGGCAATAAATCAACACGTAAAGATTCCAGCCCCATCTGCTCCAAGGTTGAAAGAAACCTCTGTCTTACACTATCGCAACAGAAGGGCTTACACTTGACAACAAGTCTGGAATTTGGAACCGCACAGAGTATAGTTGCCCAGACTCGCAATACATTTGGTGTTATCTGTTAAGTAAATCAGTGAAAGAAATTACATCATGCCTTAAAATTCATCAAACTAATGAGATCAAAGTGAGGTACTACCTTGGCCAAATTATTAAAGCTTCCAAAAGTGATAAAGCCATTGGAAAGAGCTGGTGTTGGTGAAACAGGACCAGCTTCAGGAGAAGGAGTATAACAAAGAAAACATTCTGGCAGACGAACTAGTTCCTCAACGTTCCTGCCAAACAATCATGTCACTCATATAATAGATCAAACCATAAACAAAGAAAAAAAAAGTTATCAATCTAAAATATGACATGAATATAAGGCCTACTTCTGCCTTGTATTTGGTGGATCAACTAATCCATCTGTCATTCGGTAGTCAATTGTAGGCAAACCAGTTGTATTTGGATAACCAATCCAAGTAACCTACAACAATATAGCAACATTTATGAGAAGACACTACATAGAATAGTTATTTCACAGTAAGTATAAAAATAACACGTTACTTTTCCATAATAATACAATAATTCCTACTAGGTTGCAAGCATAACGTTGGAGAAGAGGAAGCCTGAAACATTCATGCGAAGAAATTATTTTCTTAGATGATGGGCATGATCTTGAACTATGTGATAAAAAAAAAAAAGCGAAGTCATGAGCATACAAGTGATCACAATCAGGCGACTGACTGTTGTAGCAATTGGTGGGTGAAAGTGAGCATTTATCAGCTACAAGATGACCCACGAAGGAACAAGATAGTAGTGTGAAATAGCAAAGGATGAGAAATGCTTGTCAAAGTGAAACACGTGGATGGAAATCACTATTAAACGGGATGGGAATAAAAGCAACATGTAGCCAACTCATTGATCAATTCATGATATTGCACTTAGCTTTAGAACTTGCAGCAACTTAAACGTATCCAAGCATCAAGTGCAATGTCAAAGGAATTGGTTAAATGTTCTATAACCATCAGACTAAGAGTACAAATCACATAATAAATAATTAATCACAGCTAAAGAATTTTGAAATTCACAAATTTATTGCTGAAGTCTCTGAGCTCTATACAAGATATGACAAGCATCCAAATCATACCAAAGTGGAAAAAAAAGGCTTCCTTCCACAAAAATAGTTCCACTATATCCAAATCTACTTCTGCATCAAGCAGATCCATGATAAATGAACTTTGGAAGGTATCTGCCAAACCCAAGATCAGATTTTATGAACAGGTGAGATGTAGGTCGCAACCAAAGCTAAGCTATACACTAACGGGCCCTTTCTACCAGGACAAGTTTTAAGTACATTAGTTTGTAATCAACAAAAAAATATCAAAGGAAAACTACATAGCATATTTTATGCATTACTGGCAATTTAAAAATGTGTTTTGGCAATCATCTTTGGGTGGTTAATGATCAACTATGCAGAAGGTAAAATCCTAACGTATTCCAAATAGATGCACGTGGACGATAAAGGCAAGAAAATCATAGTTAACTCTGAAGAAAATGAGAAAAAAGATAAAGCATGGAGAGGAATAGTAGCACAAGCAGAATACAGAATGATGGGATTAAGATTGATATTAGATGTATTACCATTATTACCAAATCAGGATTCAGAGTGATTAACAGCAAAAGTAGCATCACTGATATTACAAGTTGATCGTCATCCAACCAACAACTCCTACCCCAAACACCACCAGAAAAAACAGAATAAAAACAGAAAAGATGCTAGAAAAAAGCACAAGATACTCAAGACATCTACATAACATGAAGAAAAATCAAAGGTTTAGGATACAAATAAAATAAACAACTATTACCTGGACAGGAGCAGGTCGACATGCCATCATCCCCAATTTATTGTTTGCAGTGTGACCAGTAAGCTCCACCAATATATCAATTTTATCATCTCTAACCATGCTAGCAACTTTCCTCTCATCAACACCATATATATCTCTCCATAGCCCACCCTTTTTCAGAACCCTATCTTTAAATTTAAGAGTCTTAGCATCTGCCTGAAAAATCATATCAACAAGCAAGTCAGAAAGACAATGGAAAAAAGGCCTACCCAGAAAGTAAAGAAGAGGACATTTGAGAAGAAGCTTGATGAGAAATGCACTTGCTTAACAACGTCAATCCTTTCTTGACAACTTAGGGTATGAGCTTTCAAATGTATGAATAAATACCACAATAGGAAAATAGCTCGATTAAACAAACATATATAAATAGAGAAACAGAAATCAAATAGGAAAGAAGAAAACTTACCTTCACAACAGCAGAGTACACAACCACCTTGTAATTTGCATAGTTATGGTGTGAAAGAGGTGCTTCAATGAAGTATGAAACAGAGTGGGTAAAATAATCAGGAGACACATATCCAACTACTAGTGGTCGCTCCATGTCTTTTGGATTATCCCAACTGGTGTATTGCGGATATAGATTCATAAAGCGCCGTCCCCATTCCCTAAGAAATGACTTCATTAAGAACCGCACCATGTTGAAGTATATGACAAAAAAATACAACTGACAGCAAGATTAATCTTGCTTCAGAAAAATAATGGCACTTGCATATTTTGAGATGACAGGAGCTATAGAGAAACATCAAGTATTTTGAGATGACAGGAGCTATGGAGAGTCAACAAGTAAACATGTATCAAACGTGTCGTATGTTAAAAGCAAACACAAAATATGTAAAAATAATAATAATAACATCCCGGCAGGTGACCTGGATGGATTCCCTCAGGACCAAATTACAAGTTGACTATTGAATAGGCATGTCAACATGCACCAGATGTAAATTGAATCATTCCAGAAGAACCAATTCCTGTGGCCTTGAGTAGGCTATAAAAGAGTGCACCATTTGTGAGCGATGTCATACTCACCTTCTTAAGGGTACCACAGCAGAGTGTACCCATGACCTGGATAGATACAGGCCATTGGTCCCATGATAGAAATGGCAGAGAGGGTGATCAAAGATTAGCAACTTGTCTATGTAGACATCTCATGGCACCAACCAAAGTTCATATAATATAGGCCCAAATATTATCAGTATAGATGGGAGGAGCGAGGGAAGAAAGTATCGGGAACGAGAAGAGTGGTGTCGAGAAAGGGGAAGCGAAAGGAGTGATGCATGTGAACCCAAACATAACAATGAAAAACAAAATTTTATGTGAACCAGTGGTATCAGAAAATATTGTGGGTCAGTGAGGAAAAGGAGGGGCAAAAGAACCCATTCACCATATAGAAAGAAGCACGATAAGAAGCTCTTATGTTGGGTTAAAGTTCAGATGTGCACAGACAAGCAAGATAAAAATAGGTGAAAGGAATAAATGCTATCATTTGATAGCTCAATCAGTCATCAATTATATTAGAAAAGGATAAGAAAGAACGTCAAAGCGATACGGGTTTTATAACAATCACGAAAAAAGAGAAAACTCAACGCATACAAGATGCCTAATTTTTCCACTCTAATGAATTCTATCTCGACATGAACCAAAGGCAATTTTGTAATTGAGTTCAGAATAAGCAACTTTTCCATGAGCTAATAATGTTCCTTCTCTTGTTCCCATTCTTTTTCTTTTTTGATGGGGAGACTAGCCATATATATTAGATATGATACATATAAAGTTATGATTAAAGGTTCCTTTCAATAAATTTACTATCTGCCTTAAAATGATAGTTTATGTTATCAATTTTTAAATTTTAGTTATTGTATATTTAAGGAGAACACATTTATTTGGTTATACATAAAGTTGCATTTTATCCCTTGTAACTATGTACCACAAACAATTTATAACCTTTTTTTCTAAATTTATCACCCAACATCATTTCACAACCTAGTGACTTTGACTTTTCAGTAGTTAATGCTGTTATTATAATACACATTGGAAGTACATGAAAAGCTTGAACTTCTTTAAGTATATATTTTTTCATGAGAATAATTAAGCTATGTTAAAGAGGAGGAATTCCAACACCACCTTCATGTTAGAGAGGAGCTATGTTTTGAAGTATATAATTTACTTCAAAACCTCAATTATATGGTGCGGAAGAGATCCCATTTCACTTTCCAAATTCCAACCAAAAAAGTGATCGGAACCTGCAATAACAATGTCCCACTATATATTAAGTCACTGCCCCTTAATTAAATTAAAGCATTTTAAACTTGCAACAATTCTTAAGAAATTAACAAAAATATAAAATCTCAATTATTAAATGATATATTTATTACCCCCAATAAAGATAACTTGATATGCTTAACTAATAGAGACTATAAGATTCTTGTAGCACAAATCCTGACAACCCATTTCCTTTCCTAGCCAAAAATCTAGACAACATGCTTCCAGTCCTAGTTCAATGTTATCCTTTCCTCCAGGCTTTATGCAGATTTAATGCCATTTCTTGTTCCTCTTCCTTTGTAAGGATATTATTTGCAACCCATGTTCCTGAACCCATCTCCAGGTAAACCACTCTTGCTTCTTGGCATCTTCTCTTCCTTCAAATCTGCACTGACTGCACCCTTTCCTAATTATCCTCTAAACCTTTCTGCATTTCCAATAAGCCCACATCATCTTCCCTTTGGGACAATATGGCCCTGGAGATGAACAGAGATTCAACAAAACATGAGCCAATTCCAAAATCTACATGTCCAATCTGAATCACGTTGGAGATAGCCTATTTTTAAGTTTACCAGAAGCACAATCTAGCATGAAATTTGACAAGGTCCGCATAAGTTGATAGAAGAACCAAGTGCCAAATCCTGGTCACATAAAGGTTGATCAGACAGGATTTCTCAAAAATATTCTAAACAGCACTTAGACATTGGCATCCCTACCCAGACCAATACTAAATCCTTTATATGAAATAACATGCAAAATAAATAGTGCAACTACTAGGAATGATGGATTATATTAGAAAAGTAAGATAAACAATATTGATAAACCAGCCTAACCAGCTTTGAGGAGACTTCCTTCTTGTACTCGTAACAAAATATGAAGATGCAAGAAGAAAGTTGAACCAGCAGAAAAACAAACGAGGACTTTGAAGTCAGGGAATTAACAATACCTATGAGCCTCAAAAAGTCTATCATCCAAACCCTCATCTATGTAGTTCATCGCAAGCAAACGATTCTGAAAAACATTAGTAAACAATAATTTCACAAAGGACTGATCACTGGTGACTAAAAACAATATAACTGGCAACAAAAATTAGTAAGTTATCAATCATGTACTAATTCACAACTGATAATGTTGACAATTTCAACAGCAAAGCCAACCACCAACTTCAAGTGATTAGTGGATATTCTCTGTTATAATGGATCATAACAAAAAAATACAAGAAAATTAACATACTTGCCAAATAACTTTAAAAAATAATTTCAAATCAATCCATGTGCCAATGTCATCCAAAATCCCAAAAATCTCTTATTACACTTAATATTGAAACTCAAAAATGGTCAACAGTGGATGTCTTTTCCTGTTATATATATATATATATATATATATATATATACACACACACACACACACACACACACATATATACACACACATAAGAATGAGAAGTGATCCAAAATCATTCATGAAATGACGGTAGATCGCTTTGCAAAAGGGAAGTATCAATGAACTTCTATAAAATAAGATGGCTTCATGGCAATCAAGCAAACGGTCTAGATATTGAACACATGCATGAACGCAAGCACATGCAAGCACACACAGTTCTGAAACTTTGATCCAAGTGCCTGATTATTCAATAATTTGACAGAAAAATAGAAAGTGTTATGTTTTCCCGGTATGTTAACTTTCAGGCAAGCAACACAATGAAGTCATCTATATTCACTGAGGCTACGAAATAACTAGAGGATATCAAAGGAGAAAACAGTTATAAAAGGGTCAAATACATGATTTAATTCCACATAAGGCAAGATATGACTTTTCGACCAACCCAGCAACTGATCTTTGCCAATGGCATATGGATTCTCGTATTGATGGTTTTCATGACAAAACAGCTTTAATCCAATTAAAACACCAACAAAATTAAACATATCATACAATGTTGCTGAAATTAGTTTTGAAGATACCATGAGTTATTTATAACAGACCTGCCAAAGACCGCCGAATGGAGGTTCAAAATGGTGCCTAAAATGCATGCGACTAGAGCTTTGTATGATCATACTACTTTTATATAGGCTAAACCACTACGCATTAGAATATAATAAAGATGAGAGATTTTTAGATTGAAAAAAATTGGAGAGGATATAAAAAGCAATCAAGTGTTGCAACTAATAATATAAAATGAATTAATGATGGCATAAAATATTGTGGTTGGAGTCCTAGTTGTTCAGTGTTTCAAGCACCACTAAGATGCTTGAATGTTTTTAAGACCTTTTAAATATCATGACCTGGTATTTTATTCAAAGTTCAAACCATCATATTAATTGAATCAGTTCAGTACCAAAAGTGTCAAATCATTCCAGCGCAATGCCAGAATTCCTAGGCATGCAGCAAACCTAGTCTATTAGGAACCAGCATATATCAAGCTGTATGCCAGTTATGGATCAGATTGAAGATGATCAGCACACACACACACAAGCAAATGAGTCAAGTACTAAGCCTTAAATGAGGACAAAACAAAAGCTCCAACAACCAAGCATTTACACAGTGTACATGGCATAGTACATAATTGCTTAACTTGTTCAAGAGTGTAGCAACAAATAAAATCCATATAACTCATGCTGCCAATCCAAAATGCACAAATTGCTAAAAAGATCACCTTATATGACTAACACGAGCTAATCCAAGACATTAAACACCTGAATTGTCAGTTAAACTTGCATCCTTAAGTATATCAGAGATGCTAAAAGGATGTAGTAGTACCTGGCCCGCATTACGTGAATCAGGATCTATCTGGAGGCACCTCTCATATGCTTCAATCGCCAGAGAAATATTGCCCACATCTCTGTAAAGAACCCCTAAACAAGAAAGAATGTCAGAGATAACTACGTTAAATAATTTTTTTTACAGTAACTATCAAAATATTTTATCAAGAAGCAGAAATGTGATACAATTGCAATCAATTGACATGTTTGCTTGCAACAAATCAATAGACAGAAACATATACCAATTTTAGATAATTTGGACCAACTAAAATAACTAATCTTAACAGAATGAATGAAAGACAATTATCTTTTATTTAATCAAACAAATAGTATAAGGGTATCAAGTGGTTTTTGACTGAACTTGTTCTCTTTGTCGAGAACACTGGGTTGAATGATTCGGATATGTGGAACAAAGAGATAGACGACCAAAACCCTCAGGGTATCAAGTGGTTTTTGATTGAACCTTTCAGGCCTTCTGATAAACTATTGAAAGAAAAGAAAAGAAAAAATAAAAAACCTATTTTATATTGAGGAAGCTTAAATTCCATGAACAGCAATCTTCATTGATAATTGTATGGGCATCATACCCCTTCCTACATTCCTAGCCAAGCCTATTTTGTGCCTCCAATCCTAGACCCAACTCTGATTTAAATTGACTTATGCCTCATTTGTTATGCTCCTTCTCGTGATCTTTCCTATTTGCATTATCAACAAGGGCTACTCCAGGTCACTGCAATTTCAAGTAATTTGTGATTGTTCCTCAATGTATTCTTAACCAGGGCAACATCCAAGTTGCTGAAATTTCAAGCAATTCTTGTTTTACTTTTTCTGGTAGCACCAATTTTCCCTGGCAATATTTTTTGTATACACAACACCAACTCTTTGCATATAATTTAGACTGAGTACAAATGTTAATCCGTGAGCATCCTTGCACATGTCTCAACAAACTTGGTCACTAATCCAAGAGCACATAACAATAGATCATGAAAGTGAGAAACAAAATGCACCTTCCATAATATATATCATCATGCTCTACACTATAATATATTGATGAACATATGGCCAAGCCCTGCGATCCAAATTGAATAGTTAACTATGGCTGTAAAGAATATAATAACACAAATTTTGAAACAACTGTTACAAAATTCTCTTTTCAATCCCGCCAAAACTCCATATATATACTTTCCTTGATGTCCATAAAGATTACAGAAGCCCATATTGATAAGGCAAATTCAAATCACTCTCAAGTTTCTAGCTTCTTGAAAGGCCCAAAAGATTATAAACACATCACATAGAAAAAAATAAAAGTGGTAAATTAGCAACAAAAACTTAACATCAGAAAAAGAAAAAAACAGAAGGGCCAAAAAAATTTTAAATAAGGCAAATTCAAATCACCCTCAAGTTTTAAATAAAAAAAAAAACAACACATCACACTAAAAAAACTATGAGTGATAGCAACAAAAACTTTACATCAGAATATGAAAAAATGGGTGCACAAACAACCTAAGTTATTGTACGCTTCTGCATAAGTTGGATTTGCAATAATGGCTTTCTCAATCATGCTGGCAGCAGCATCCATTTTACCCTAAGCATATGAAAATAAATAAATAAATGTCACTATTAGAAAAATGATAATTTTACTAGTTCCACATGAATATAAATTAATGAATGTACCTGAACAGTAAAAACCACACCAAGATTGTTTAGCGATTGGGAGAAGTTTGGTTTGATTGATAAGGCCATCTAGAACAAAATAATATCAAGCCAGTGATATGTCAATATAAGTCTCAATAAGTAGCACCACACCGTCACAGGAACATATCGAAGCACTAGATTTGCAAAGATTATGATACTGAACACACCTGATAACACTCCACAGCTTTGTCCAGATTATCCCTGTCCTTATAGATAACTCCTAAGTTGTTGCAAGCCTCCGCGCAATGAGGATTGAAGTGTAATGCAAGTTCATAAAACACAATTGCCTTCATAAATGATTTAGAGTTATAGCTTCAGCTTAAAGTAAGCTAAAGAATACAAAAACAACTGAGTCAAATTCTGAGCAAGCAAATATAAGCTACAAGCACTAGTGAGTTGGCAGAAGAAAGAAGAGAGGTAGAACTATTTCCAAGGTGGTCCACACTTTGATAAATCCCTCTTCTGGCTTAAGCAGAATATCACATTGTTCTACAAGAGGCAAGTTACTGGAAAATTTTCAACTAACCATGTCAAACTTCAGCATTTCACCATATGCAACACCAAGATTATACATTGCATCAGCATAGTGCCAGTTGTAATATAAAGCTTTCTTGTAATATGCCACACCTTGGTTTATATCACCCTCAAGTTTTACCTGAAAATATATTGCATCAGACTGTTCCGTCTCCCAAAAAAATTACAGAAGCAGTTGCAGTGCCTTATGTATTATTGTGCCAGAAAAAAATGATATCCACATCAGGAAAACCTCAAATTACATACTAACATATTGGAATCCCTAATGTAAAGAGACAATGTAACAAACCAAATATTTCAATAACTGATTAAGCAAATACCATTTAGGTCAGCACAAAATTGATTTAGCACAGTTGTAAAGGTATCGAGAAAGATATAAAATATTATACATCATTGTCTTGTCAGGTTGTTTATAAAATATGTCACAGCTAGACAAAAACTTGGTCAGATCTTAAAACTTATCTGGCACTTATTGTCTTTATTTTACTGTTGCATGTCTTTCAGTCATGCAACTAATGTTTCCAGATTCTCATCCGTGTGTTGCGTCTTTCATGCAATTTATGTTTCCAAATTTTAATCATTGTATTGCCCTTCTTTGTCAATTTTTCCTTCTTACAGAATTTATAGAGGGCAAACCTTTGAAATCAGCATAATTGCATGAACTTACCTGAGTATCAAGGTTCGAATTATGGAAAGATCAACAATTCATATCTTAAAACATTTTTAGCTTGTAGAACAAAGAAATACGCATAACAATTCCAAGCCATTAGATTTGGATACTGAGAAGTTAAAACAAAGAAAATTTTCTATGAACTTTGAGAGAGTAAAGACAATCAGAACATGTGTAGGATCAGACTTAAGATGACAAAATAAACACCAACCTTTGTTCCAAGATCTGTCAAAGCTATTGCCATGTTATTCTTGGCAATCTCAAAGTTTGGAGACACGGTCAAGCACCTAATACGACAAAACAGCCAGCAGAATTATGCACCAGCAGGAACAAAGCTTGCATTAAGCAAGGAAAAAAAAAAACTGCAAATGAAACAAAGGACGATAACTAGGAAACCCACCTTTCATAGCAAGCGATGGCAGCCTCCAGGTCGCCTCTGTTTTTATAAATGACTCCCATGTTGCAGTATGCTTCTGCATATAGAGGCCTCTCTACAACAGCCTTCTCATAGCAGCCAAGAGCCAAGTCATATTGCATCATCTCAGAGTACACAACTCCAAGGTTATAATATGCAGGCTACATTAAAAAAATTATATCATATTACCCAGAAACACCAACAAAGAACTAGCAAAAGCAAGTTACAACACAAACAATAACAGGGCATAAGAGTTATCATGACTTTACAGCATAGTGACCGTCCACTTTAAGAGCGTCAAAATACTTCTGAATTCCTTCATCTGTGTTACCAGCAAGTTTTAAGCTTGTTCCAAGATCTGTCAAAACAATAGCAAGGCACTCTGCAGCCAGTTTATATGAGGGATCTGCCTTTAGAGCCTTCTGATATGACTGCAACAGACTTACTGTGTCAGACTCATTTGTTAGACAGGAGTCAGAAATATTGCAAATTATATAATCAAATTGTACCACGCGAAACTTAAAGATATGAGAAAATACAATGAAGTAACACAATGCAGTTTGCACTATATATCACCAGCAATGCAATTGCTGACATATTAAAATATTTATTAGTGGTGATACATCAACATAAAAGACCATAATTAATATGCATCACTTCTCAGGCAGTTGACAAAGTGCATATGTATTAACTATCAGTAAAAATGAAAGTCCTGTCTAGTGTCATTCAACTATAATTTTTAAGAATAATTTCCATTCTTAGTTTTAGAGGCTACTTCTCATCCTTGGTTTATGTGGAATTTTAAACTTGACTATATCTTAGGCTAGGAAAAAAAGGAATCAAGTTCTGGATATGTACGTCTCTTATTAGGGGGTCAGAAATATTAGCGTACTTATAGAAAATAATATAATATGGACTCATATGCTTACATGAAGGTGCACCTTTTAAAATATAATAAAAAAACTGCAATGCTGCAATGGGATTTATAAATAATTGATGAAAAAACAAAAAGAAAGGCCTTCATTTTCAAATGTTAAATAGGACCATCCACCTTTATCCTCACTGAAGTTATCAGGTGCAAAACACTACCAAAGGAGTACAAATTGTTCCTATAGTCCAACCTGTATGTGCCTTTTCAACAATTAATTCAAAGCCTCTCCCATGTTAATTGAATCTCACAAAGATCATGCCGAAGCTTCTCTAATCCTTCTCCAACAAAACTTTTAACATTTTCCTCCTGAACTACAGCTATAAAACCTCCAAACAACAATCCTTTGAGGCAAATCCTGATCAATCACACTTACACAGGTCACCAATCTCACATCCACCATTGTCTTTCAACTGAACAAGACCTCACTCGTGCTCCTTCCAAATATACAAAAACAGTCCTAAAATGTTGCATCCAAATAACCGATGGCCAATCTCACAAAACACATTAAAAGCACCCTTGAGATAGCCTTAGCCTTGTCATAAGCTCAAAAAACATCATATACCAGCCCAGCAGCCTATAACCTAAAAGAATACTTTTTCTGTGATCGTTTCATACATTTACTCAACCTTAAACATCAATTTGCAATGTTGAGCAAATCACTAAAACAAGAACTGAAAACCTAACATGCACACAGATCCTAGATACGATATGTATCAGGTACATGTGTCACATAGAAAGCAGCAAGGTCCATCAAAAGTTCATGAAGAATATGAAGGTGACAGAGATCAAAAAACAACTATGCATAGAGATCTATCCAAACGAATAAAGTGAAGGCAATTACAAACCTACACCTATAAAAACATAAGCTCTTAGACTTACATCTTCAAGTCTAAAGCATCTCAAAGCATCCCATGATCCCCACGCTTTATTAGTAAAAAGCTTAATCACCTATCCAACATTCTTCTTCAAGAAACCGTAAAACAAATCAATTTTACATCAACTATGTTTCTAAAATTGCAAAGCAAGCCTTTTATCATGAGATGCTCCTTGGTTGCACGGTAATCTACAATCCATATAGCAAAAGAAAGCACATTACCATCCCTGAACGTTTCTCTTTGTCACAAGTAAAGATTGTAAGTGTACCAACAGATCCAACAGTTGTTAAGTGTCATATGAATCACATAGCTCAATGCACACTTTAAGTGATACCTTTAGAAAGTATTATATCAAATGCATGAACTAAGTCTTATCATATAAATCATCAAAAGTAAAAGCAGAAGTGAGCAACGATATATAAATAAATAAACACCAGCACTAGTGGTTTATGTTAAATCAGAAACAACTAAGCCCAGCAGTACAACTCAAAAATCTTCAGCAAAAAAGAAAAACCATCTACTTCTGGCACTAAAGCTATTTGTATATTAGCCAGCCAAAAAGTAATAATTCAGACAAACATCAGCTAGCTACATGTCGTGTACCTCGGCAGCCTCCAACAGGTGACCTTCATCCTTATAAATAACTCCACAATGAGTGAGGGCACATGCATTCTGTGGATCAAGTCTAATTGATTCCACAAAACAAGCAAATGCTTGCCGTAAGTGATTCTGCATTTGGAGACAAATCCCCTTGCCTATAAGGGCTTCCACATTGGTGCTATCATTCTCGATGATATTTTCATACAAAACTTGAGCGTCTGCAAATTTGTTTCGTGACCTAAGGATGTTGGCATATGCGAGGCCATCTTTCCCCTCGAACTTCTTTTTGAGCAAGGGAACTTGGGACTGAACCGGGCACACATCCGAGATAGACCTGAATTCTTTTGGATTCTCATTCTCCAATTGCGTACTGTCCCTCTTTTTCCCATTACTAGTCTCCTCCGTCAGTGCCATCGGATGTGTTCCCAGATTTTGCTTCTGGAAGAAGTAAGAGAAGAAAAAGTGATAAATAAGCAAAATTGGTCTCTTCGAATATGGTTAAAGTTGAATTAATACTCGGAGCTTAGTCAATAGATAGATAGGTAGATAGATATATACATAGAGAGAGAGAGAGAGAGAGAGAGAGAGAGAGAGAGAGCGAGAGAGACAAAC